AGCTACGCCTCACGTAGTGTGCGAAGTACGTACAGTGTGCACTTTTAGAGTGATGGATTGGAAGAGGTCACGCTTGGCATAAATAGCAATCTTCCCATCGATTTTCCTAAGAAGGAAATCGTAAAACGACTACTGCTCAAAACAATAACTAAATGCAATTGGTAACAAGAAATTAAACCTATCAAAAAGCGATAAGTGTAGCACAACCACAAACTTAGCAAGTTCTTTTACACTTTCATTTGGCGACAGTGTTACACACACCAGCGGGAAACAAACGATCGAACCAGGTGTCACAATCAATTCCGGTTCGATTCAGGGAAAATACGAAATACTCAGTAAATGACTGGCAGACAGACTAACCAAGCCGAGCCCTGCTGACCATCTCAAACTCTTTGAATCTAAATCATATGATAACCACTGACCTTATGACCAATCAATGTTTTCAGTGGTGCGATCCGAGGCGATATCAGAAGCTCCTGGCGACGACATGTGGAGCGTCAACACTCCTTCACGTTCCGCTGATAACACTGAAAGACGGAAACAAATTTGAATAAGGAACTTGGAAATCTAATACATCCACATTGAAACTACAATATAGCAAAAGATCCAACATGACATTCTTGACAATTAGAAATGAGAAGTAGTTGCTTTAGCTTGATCTTAGTTAGTAGAGTCGGGTGGAACGCACTGATCACAAGCCAAAGAAACGACCTCGTACAACTGTGACCATCACATCGATCCTCAGTCTTCAGACAACGGAGCCCACAGCTTCAAAAACAGATAAGAGACACTGAAGAAATCTCTCGTAAGTATCTGTCTGTCCGTCAGCAAAACGATATGATAAGGTAGCTCTTGGAATGAAGAAACCGCTAACAAAATCGGGAAGCTCCAGGACTTGCGCTATCAACGTTTTGCAATGGCATGATAGTGATAACATCCCAACGGTTATATAAACACCTACTGAGCACACCGTCGCTCATTCCGCATGGTGGCAGCCGGAGGGCAGTAGGGTGCGGTTCGCTAGAAGAGAAAGGACGTTCGCGTTTCACAGCGCGAAAAATTTTCCGCTGAGGGAACTCCAGGTCCACTGATGACCAGCCGTGGGCCTGAGGGCCCCGCAACGAGAAATGTTTCGCGCTGCGAAATGCGAAAAGCCGCATTCTGTCCAGTACCACATCCATGAAGGGAGCGGGATTTACTAATGGACAGTTCTTGGATGGCGATACGTACGTGCGATAGGCGCCTATCAAAAAATAAAATATATTCATCGATTGGCGAACAGGCGATTAGGCGATCAGCGATGATTCAAAATCGAAAGCATTAGCGATTAGCGATTAGGCGAGTAGGCGAGTAGGCGATAAGAGAAGGATACGTATTGATTTGCTCCGCCCATTGAGCGATCGCCTAATCGCCTAATCGCCTACTCGCCTAATCGCCTGTTCGCCTAATCCATACGTATATTTGGTGCTAACTTAGTTGGGGGGGCCACGCGGCGGCGCGGCAGTCTGCTCGCCTGGCATGTTCGGAAATCCGTGGGCCAGGGGGAGTGTAGGCAGTCTAGGGGGGTGGGGGTGGGGCAGTCACTTGACATGCGTGAAAAGCTGGAATGTTCGAGTTTACACTGTCTCGCTCGAGAGAGCCCAGGTGAGCAGACTGCCGCGCCGCCGCGTGGCCCCCCCCCCCCAACTAAGTTAGCACCGTATATTTTCCATGCGAAAGGCGCACAGCTCAACAGGAAAAGGAAGGTTCCGACGGCTGCGTGGTCTCGTCGAAAAGTAGTAAAACCTTGTACCCTACCAGAACCCTGATTTCACTTTACGCCAATACAATGGATGACTGCATAAATTTAGGCATTCCGATACGCCTGTCTCCTTTGTGGTGAACCCATCACCTGATATACTCTGCTCCTTCAATACACCTCAAATGAAAGCTAAATAGATAGGGGAAAACTGTTCAAGATTTCTGATATGTCTTACGCTGAAGAGCATTCGAATTTTTTTGTAGAAATATTGAAATTGCTGAGCTGCCAGAAATCGTTGCAACTTCAGTCATGCCTATCACTATCTTTAAGCTGAAGAAAGATTTCATCGGTTTGACGGAATTGCATTACACAAATATTGCAAGAGGGATGAAGCACCCCCAGGTACAGCGCTTCCTTTATCCGTAATCAGATCCCACTGAACATCGATTAATAGACAGCTATCTGGAGCAGCAACTCAACGTCATCTTCACTGAACTGATCTGCAGACGAGTGACGAAAAAGACGAGCGCGAAATATCAGCTTTTTCACCGTATCTTTGCGTCACATGAGGCAATTATTCTATCAGAAACGCAAGACGAAATGCCGTGTCAGAAACACTATGCAAATTATTCATTCCTCCATCGCTGATTGATAATATGACCTTAAAGTAAATTAAAGCGCGTATTCAGGACAGGATAATCCAAGGTCTTTTCGTCTATTTTTCCTGAATTTTCAACAATGTGCAAGCATGTATGCAGGGTAAAAAACGGGAAAAAGCCAATCAGAAAACTGCTCAACGACCGACTGGGTTTCGATTCGTGAATTTTTCCCATTGTGGGAAAATATAGTGATCAGTTATGAGTAAGTTGCCGCATGGAACACCGGAAGTGTGACATAAAAAAGATTAAAGTTAGAAATCAGAAATGGGCGTAGAGCGAGAAAATGCTCGATACTGAAACTCTCATTTTCACAACCCTTTGATCCCCGCTTCTCCTCCCTTTTTGGTCAATTCGCCTACGCTCTCTACCTCACAGCAGAAATAAGTACATGGATAGGAACTTAACATTACAAACCTCATAAGTTTCGCAGCAACAAAACAACTAATACGTGCAATACGGATTGCCCTTGCACGACCCAATGACGTTTGTTGGTAAAAACCTCTGATCCCGCAGCTGATTTAGGGTTAACCACCGAATTGATAAGATTACCTTAACTTACTAAGAAACCCAGGATACGAACATTTTGAACGGTACACTGATAAGCATCTGTGATACAGTCTCAGATACCAGAAATTAGCTACGCCTCACGTAATGTGCGAAGTACGTACAGTGTGCACTTTTAGAGTGATGGATGTGGAGGAGGTGGCTTGGGGCATAAAAAGCAATCTTCCCATCGATTTTCCTATGAAAGAAATCGTGAAACGACTACCGCTCAAAACAATAACTAAATGCAATTGGTAACAAGAAACTAAACCTATCAAAAAGCGATAAGTGTAGCACAACCACAAACTTAGCAATTTCTTTTACACTCCATTTCGCGACAGTGTTACACACAGCAGCGGGAAATAAACGATCGAACCAGGTGTCACGATCAATTCCAGTTCGATACAGGGGAAATACGAAACTATTGTCGAGTAAGATGACTGGCAGACAGAACTCAACCGAAGCCGAGTCCATGCTGACCATTCTCAGAACTCTTTGATCTAATCGATACTGATAAACACTGACCTTTAGTGACCAATCGAATGTTTTCAGTGTGCGATGCCGAGCGATATCAGAAGCTCCTGGCGACGACATGTGGAGCGTCAACACTCCTTCACGTTCCGCTGATAACACTGAAAGACGGGAACAAATTTGAATAAGGAACTTCGAAATCTAATACATCCACAATTGAAATTATTTGGATCAAAAAAAAAAGAGTAGTTG